AATAATAATAATAATAATGGGCCCTAAATCCCGTTGGGTGACTTGGGTCAGATAAGTTGGGTCGACATTCAGACCCAAAAATTGTCAACGTGACGTGAGACTATCTATTTGGACCTAAAGCCCAAATCCTAGACTAACACACACGGGCGGTCCCCCGAAGTACCTAGTCGTGGAAGTGCTGCACAGCCCAGGGCCATTAGATCCTAGTGAACTATTGCCATCCTATGTACTGTAAAAATAAATTTTGATTTCAATGGCTGCAGTGCATCCTAACCATAGTTTGAATTTTTTTCTTCAATCTTGTGTTTTGCAGTGGTATACAAGACTACAAAATACATATCATTAATTTGAGTGAATTCGTTTCATTAAATGGTTTAAATTATATAATTTTAAGAATTTAAACTACACAATATTTTTTTTTTACTACTCAAACAAATATTGTTTATCTAAAAAAAAAAAAAAACTAGACTTGTGTATAATCTTATATAGAAAACAAAGAGAGATCATTTGTTACTCCAAGAAACTTGGGTTAATTCGAATAAAATGGAAATGCAAAGTCAAGATTCAACCCAAACACGGCCAATGAATATCGATAGAAGTTGGAATATTTGTAAATGTTAGTCTATCCACATATACAGTTAGCTGAGTCAACAAAAGAACAGAGGCCACTAAAAAAGTCTCCATATTTTTTTTCCACCTCAGGCTATATAATACGAACGCCACAAAATCTAGCTGCAACATTCTAGGGTTCGGTACTGAAATTAATGGCGTCTAATGTTTCACTGTACGAAATTCTTGGGATTCCAGGGAGCGCAAGCAGCCACGAAATCAAAGCTGCATATAGGAGGCTGGCGAGAATTTGTCACCCTGATGTTGTTTCGATGAGTCAGAAGCAAATTTCAGCTAATGAGTTCATCAAAATCCAGGCAGCGTATTCTACGTTGTCCGACCCGGAGAAACGTGCTGATTATGACAGGGATCAAATTTACAGGCAGAGAAGATCTTCTCTCAAGGCAGATACAGGGGCGGCTGCTACTTCGTTCATGGCGGGCAACCGTACTGGTTATACTAGTAGGAATTGGGAGACAGATCAATGTTGGTAATGGTTGTTCTTTCTCCTGTGTTTGGCATGGAGAGGTTAGCCCTTAGCCGTTTGAATTAATAAGATGTAAAAAAAAATTTATGTTATAAATAAATAACAATAAGTCAATAATTGTCGGCTGTAAAACATTGCCTATCCATTGTCTTGAAAATCCATAGTGATGGAACCTTTTTCTTTTAAATGAGAGGAAAAAAAAAAACCAATCTTATCTAAATTATATTTTATCCAAAAAAAAAAATTCTTATCTAAAGTATGAATTTCATGGACCTCAATAAATTATAATGCATGATTAATATCATAAGATAATTTTTATATAATTTTTATATAATATTAAATAAAT